TCAGGAACGGGGGCTGGGACGGTGGGGGGGTGGGGGGAGGCTCCTCTGGGAGTCTGAAATGGGTCCAAATTCACCCAAAAATGGGTGCGAATTTCATCTTGAAGGGGGTCAAAAACTTGTCCGAAAATGGGGCAAAATTCATTCTGAAATGGGGCAAAAATTCACCCTGAAATGGGGCAAAATTCACCCTGAAATGGGGCAAAAATTCACCCTGAAATGGGGTAAAATTCACCCTGAAATGGGGCAAAAATTCACCCTGAAATGGGGCAAAAATTCACCCTGAAATGGAGAAAAATTCACCCTGAAATGGAAAAAAATTCACCCTGAAATGGGGCAAAAATTCACCCTGAAATGGAGAAAAATTTACCCTCAAATGGAGAAAAATTCACCCTGAAATGGGGCAAAAATTCCCCCTAAACCCGCTCCAAAATCCTTCCTGAAAATCCCCAAATCCTCCCGAAAATGCGTCCAAATCCCTTTGGGAGCGATTCCCAAAATTCCCCCTTTTTAGCCCCAAAAAAATCCCGGAATTTTCTCCAAATCCCTTTGGGAATGATCCCAAAAATCCCCCTTTTAATCCCCAAAAAACCCCAGGAATTTCCTCCAAATCCCTCTTTAAAATATTCCCCAAATCCCCCCTTTTTTCCCCAAAAAACCCCGGAATTTCCTCCAACAATCCCTACCCTTAACAACCAAATAAAACCCCATTGGAAACCATCCAAAAATCCCCATTTTTTTCCGGGATAAACCGATTTTTCCCGGGATAAAAAAGAAATTTTTTGGGGAATTTTTTTTTTTTTTTTTTATGGATTTGTATCCCGGTTTTTTTTTTTTGGGAAGGGATGAAGGGCGAGGCCGAAGGCTGCGGATTCCCGGCGGGATCCGGGGTCAAGGTGTTCCTGCACTGGAGCGGGGATGAGGAACGGGAAAAATTCCGGATTTATTCCCAAGGATCGCTGAGCGCCGAGGAAATCTGCATCGATCTGGCCCGAAGGATCGGTGAGGAAAACGGGAATTCCCGATTTTCCGGGGCTCTGTGGGGCGGGGGGAGGAATTGGCAAGGAGAGACGGGGTTTTTCCAGGGAAAAGAGCCGGAATTCCCAGGGAAAATACCAATAATTTCCAGGGAAAACACCAGGGAAAAGAGCGGGAATTCCCAGGGAAAACAGACGGAATTTCCAGGGAAAAGCTGGGAAAATACCGGAATTTTCCAGGGAAAAGAGCAGAAACTCACAGGGAAAACATCAGGAAAAAGAGCGGGAATTCCCAGGGAAAAGAGCGGGAATTCCCAGGGAAAAGAGCGGGAATTCCCAGGGAAAAGAGCGGGAATTCCCAGGGAAAAGAGCGGGAATTCCCAGGGAAAAGAGCGGGAATTCCCGGGGAAAAGAGC